GCTTCCAGGGGCAGAAGCTGAACTGATCTCTGGTTTCTGCTGCCAGCAGGACTGAGATGGGGAGGCCGAGGGCTAGCTGGCATTTTCTCTCCGTTTCCTCTCCACAATCATGAAGAGAAGCAGAGTGGAAACGTCTGCTCGTCCCCCCAGAAGCAAAATGAGCCGACCAACCTGATGCGTCTTTTCCAGTCTCGGTGACGTGAAGTAGACCCCTTCAAGATTTTACCACCAGGATTCAAAAGCCACATTTATGTTTACACCAGTTTCTGTTTTCACTCATCAGCTCATTGGTGTATCTGTTCTACTCTGCCTGGCTCACGTTGGTTTTTTTGCAGCCGGCGGAGGTGATGTACCGCGAGTGGAGCTGCTGTCATTGGCTGCTCTTGGATTGAACTCAACAGGAAACAATGGCGGCCCGTCTGGTCACACAGCATCTGGTATTCCAGATAAACATAAAATATGATCCACCTTCACCCAAATCACCGAATACAGTTATAAAAGTAATTTTTCCAACCTAATTCTTCTCATTTGTGGGCTGATAAACAGTAAAATTCATCACATTCAGTGCATCGCATCTGTCATATAGCTTTGATGTCGTCGAGAGCACACCGGTAAAAGGACGAAGCGGTGCATGAATTACCAGTCTGTGGTGGCCAGCTTGCTCTTTTATGCTGTGGTTTGCTGGGGAGGAAGCAGCAAGAGGAGAGACGCCGGTCGACTGGACAGACTGGTGAGGAGAGCTGGCTCAGTGGTGGGCACAGAGCTGGACTCTCTGGTGACAGTGGCAGATATTTATATATTATATATATATATAATACGTTTTATTTTATCTTCTATTTTATTTTTAATTCTATTCTTAAGGTTAGGGATTTTAATTTTAGTCTAATGTTTGTTTACTGTATGTTTTGTATTGTGTATGCTACTGGATACCTGAATTTCCCTCGGGGTAAATAAAGTATCTATCTATCTATCTATCTATCTATCTATCTATCTATCTATCTATCTATCTATCTATCTATCTATCTATCTATCTATCTATCTATCTATCTATCTATCTATCTATCTATCTATCCATCCATCCATCCATCCATCCATCCATCCATCCATCCATCCATCCATGAAGGGCCAGTATCAGATAAAAAAGGATGTTTTTGAAAAGTGAATCATGCAAAGATACTCTAGTGGAGTCTCAGAAGAAGAATCTAGAGCTAGAAAAGAGCACAATTGGTCCCCTTTAAAACATTCAGTATTGAATCATGGCTAAGGAAGTTAGGGGTCAAAGGTTGCAGCAGCCTGACAGCCGATGCATGAAACTGTGAGATGATGGACGAGGAGGGAAGAAGATCCAGGGAGAGATGAAGGAAATATTCTTTAACAAAACATGTTGCATGATACTGTATCTCTCCTCCTTACTAACACTTTTATTGTGAAAGAGCAAAACAGGACAAAGATGTGCAATAAAGGTCGAACAAATTGATGTAAATCATTCTTTAAACAGCGCTATAGAGCGGATGAGAGCGGGGCAGGGACGTGATATGGTTGATATCATCTGGTTTGTGTTTTATGAATCAAATCGTGATGGATGGCGCTTTAATCCAGCTCGCCTTTCTTCTCTACAACGTCAGTATTTCCTGACAGCGGAGGGGTTTGGGTGGAGGTCAGAAGGCAGTGACTGCGAAGATAAACTGATACGTTTTGAGGTAAAAATGATGCATGAATCTCTGCAGAACTCTTTACTGTAACGAGACACAGAGCTCTGCACGGGAAGCCAAACGATCCTGCGTCAATGAAACACTTTTAATGCCTCAATGCTGCAAAAAAAGGATTCAGAACTGTAAAAAGTCCAGTTTACAGTTTAATCTTTGGCATAAATAACTTGTTAGGTCTTAGAAAACTAAACTAAACAATACAAGCTTTACATTTATATTAAATAAAAGTTTATTGTATCATTAACATTCATTGTAATTAGGTACGTTTGTCAGGACTAAACATCCAACTTATTTAAAGAATATAATATTAATGTTATGGTATGTTGGGTCATACGTTTTAGATGTTCAGTTTACTGGACTTAAGAAACCACAAAATATTCACAGTTGAGAAGCTGAAATCAGAGAATTTGTCCATTTATTTCCTAAAAAACGATGATATAATAGTTAAAATGGTTGCAGCTCTAGTATGTAACGCCTCAACACGTTTCGTACTACCTTCAGGAGTCTGCAGACCAGCTGTGGACAACAGATGCTGTAAGAATCGATCATATTCACTGATAGATCAATGAGGTTCCTGCTTTCATTACATGCCGAATTGAAGGCATCTACTGGCAATGGGTGTTTAATTAAACGCCTTTATTTAGATTTTATTGCCTTAGTTTGCTCACTCAGTCGGAGTAGTGCTGATTGGTCGTCACACCGCCACACAAATAGGCCCTAGATCAGTGTTTGCAGCACCCTGCCTAGCTGTGAATCATTTTACAAACCGTTTACACCTTCTCTCTTGTAGACAAATGAGTCTTTATTTCCTGTTGAGCTGATATCAGAGCAGAACATACTGTACATTCTTGAAAGGTTGCACAGAAAACTGGCATTAGTTGAGGTTGCAGCGTTACAGATATGAGCTTTAAGATAAGCTCTCTAAAGAGGGAAACACAACACAATGAGAGCAACAGAAGCCAACGACAAGAGAGGGCTGAATGGGAGGTTCAAGGTCCACATTTATCAAGTTAGAGTAAAGTTAGACTGAAAGGGTTTGTTAAATACAGACCCAGATTGTTGAAGTAAAATAAAGGTTGTATTGAATGATTATTACTTAATATTAGTGTGTTTTTTGGTGGCATCCAAATCTAAATGCATTACACAACCCTCCTAAATCACCTCCACCTTTCATCTGTCAACAGGTGAGCTCTTGGTGGGCAAAGAAATTCATGGATTCACAAAAGAAAAACTAAAATGAACAATTAATATACAATTCCTGACTGACTGATGATGAACATTTATAGTTTTGTTTTCACAGCGTTTCCATAATGTTAAATTTCCTCCCAGCAAAGTGAGGTGTTTGTCAGGATACGACACTCAAGTCTGTTTCAGGTCGGCACGAACATCGCACGTCTTCACTGATTGATTCAACTAAATCAAGAGGCAAAGTTTCTGCTGATTGACATCACGTTCATTGTGTTTTTCCTCCTCAAAACGTGACTTCACAGCAGTTGGTAAAGTAGTGACAGCTGGAGGAGCCCAACATACAGACACTGCTTACACTACATCTATGGAGGGCCACAACTGCCAAAAATCAAAGATTAATAAATGACTTAATATGAAACGTATTTATCTATTTATTTATTTAAGGGACAATGCACATTGATTACATTGCAATTTACTTCAGTATAAACGTGCCACAGTAAGCTAATGAGCTAATATTTATGTGTACTTAAATGCACCAAAATCAATATTAAAATAAATGTAGACATTAATTCAATTTAGAAAATATTACATAAATTAATAATTCTGTTTTAATTAGCTTGTGTATTTATTTACCTTTGTATTAAATTACCCTATTTATTTACTTTAACATTTAATTTATAAACAGAAAATGCAAAGGGAAAATAATACAGACATAAATACAAAAATATATTTAGAAATTAATAAACTAATTAATTAAATGGAAAATTAAATGGGAAAGTAAATAAACATGGGAATTAATACAAATGCCTACATTTTTAAAAAATACATAATTTTGGTGCATTTAATGGAATATTAATGTATTTATTGAGTCATTTATCTAGTTTTTATTTTGGCAGTGGCGGTCCTCCATACTACACAACCCCCCCACTTCATGATATTTTGAGGAAGAAAACAAAGTTTTAAATGTAACCATAAAGACATTCTTTAAATGGTCAATAAAGATATATTAATGTAACACATTAGAGCAGAATATAATATATTCAAATATTAACTACTGTTTTATAAAGAGTCAGAGAGACTCAGACAGGAGTCCTCACGTATAATAATACTATATAATAACCTCAGCCGCGTTTCATAATGAGTTTGATCTCAGTGTCAGCTGTCATTACAGTCGAGTGGGTGTCACAATCCTCCGATGGCGAGGACTCATTTCAGAGTGAAGATGAGAGCAGCTTCTTCACGCTTTCATGTTAAACCTTCAGCATTAATTTAACTAAATCACGCCTCTATATGACAAATACACGTGGTCCGGTGGAGGGGGCCGGGGCGTTGTGGGCTGGTTTTGTAGTGTATGAAACTCCAGCTGTTTAAATCCACACTGCTGCTGCTCTCTCGACTCACGACGACCACAGCAGGTATTTTACAGCTGACAGCTGATAGGAAACACCGGCTGTGAGCACTAATGTACAATGGTGTATATTTTGACCCTTTAACAGCAGACAAACATGTCAAATATTTACTTTCTATTTTTGACCAATGTTTAGAAATGTAATTAAAGTCCACATGAAAGATAAATCAGGGAGTTGTTTGCTTCCACATATTTATGTAATTCCTGTACAGGCAGTTAGGGTCTAATCTTCACTCTGTGTGGCTAAAAGTGGAAGATTGATTGACGGGTGAATGTCGGGATATTATTGGTTCTAAGCACGCGTCACATTTAGTTTTACAGGAAGACACAATGATCGGATTCAGATATAAAAATACGAAGAAACTGTGAGATGATGAACGACGAGGGAAGAGAGATGGAATGATGCATGATAACTGTGAGAACTTTACCGGACTTTAACAGTATCATTAGTATTGTAAACAGCTTCTTAACGTTTAGTGTAAATGTTTGTAACCTGTTCACCTGCAATGCAAAACTCCCTTAGGGAAAGGGAAAAGTTATTTAACTACAATATAAACACAATTTAAAACTTACCTGTGTTTCCTTTCTATCTTCTGTACATCCTTGGTTTGTGTTAACTTTAAATTCACAGCTAATCCCATTTGCTATAACAACAAGACCTAAAATGACACAAAAATACTAAAAAATGCACCAACCATGGAAGGTTCGATTCCACATCCTCTTGGTGACGACTTCGCCTGGAGGCCGACCATCGGACATAGACATGGTCTCGTTCAGGGCCTGAGTGTAGAGCATCAAACCGTCGTAAAAACCTCCCGATATAATGTTCATCTGGAAAAACACAACAGAAACCTGTTTATTGTTGTTTCTTCTTATAATTCTCTCTCTCTCTCTCTCTCTCTTTATGAATCACTTCAGCCTGTTTATGTTCCCATAATTAGGCACAAGGATGTTCACCCATATTGAAAAACAGCATTTGAGTAAACTAACACATATTTACATATAAAGTTCATCACTTTAACCATTTCCTGCTGTGAATACCGGCGCACTGAGACGAGAACGGGTCTGTTTGTGCTACTGACAGTCAAACAAACAATCATTTACCTGCTATTGATGTCACTGACTTACACTGGAAAGACCAACTACGTGTAGTCGCCATCGCTCGGAGTAAAATCAATGTATGATTACCCTCATCCTCTCTGATATTGGCTGCTTGTAATGATGGTGTTTGAGCAGATCACGCTGCTGTACAACCCAAAACACACACGTATAAGATGAGGCCGACAAGTCATATTTAACACAACCACATGGCCAAAAGTATGTGGACAGCCCAACATTGCCTCCATATGAACGCAGCATTAGTGAGGTTGAACACTACAGAGTACATCCAGAGTAAACTGATGAGTTTTAAACAGATTATTTCCTGTCAGAGATAAGATCCTGATCATTTTAGGAAGCTTTTTATATAATTCTCTGTCTGGATCATGTGTTGTTTTATTAACAATCATACAGACTTAATAGGCTTCTTTATTTAAACAGATTCAGTGTTTTCTTCTCATTGTTCTATCAGCTCTTTGGTTTTTTAATGCAGGACGAGGCTGTTGATCAGAGACTGAAGGCTCTGTCAATAAATACCGTGTTCAGGTCAAGTTTAGATCTTAAATAATAATCTAAACTTTAAAAATAATTGTATTGATTTGTATTCACAGAAATGAACAAAATGCGATATGGAGATATAGGCCTACCGTGTAGTATATTTTTGAAGTTTTCTTACACCCCTTACCATCAAGAAGCCATTGCGACCCCCCTGTGAAGCTTTACTTTACCCTACTGGGGGGCCCAACCCCCGGGAAAAAATCCCTATTTTTCTGTTAACATTTAATGAATGTTAATGGTTAAATCAGTGAATGACTGAACCAATTATTCTACCACCGTCAGCTGGTATTCAATCAAACCACCTGAGCTCCGTGAAGGTTTGAGCCGACCCTGTGACCTGCGCCATGTGATGGGCCTTCAATTAAAATAACTGGCTGATGACAGCAGCTACACACAGTGTTTAAATCTATAGTTGTTGGCCTGGAGCTGTGAGGAAACAGCGTGAAACCCTGAATGACGGTTGAAAAATAAAAGCTAGAAAGGACAGAAGTGGTGGTTATGTCGTCCCCGTCTGATTACAGTTGATGAGGAAGCGGGCTGAGATCGGCTGGAGACAGAAAAACACTTGAAGGCAAGAAGACGACCAGATAACTGCTGTACGATTTGACGCTCTGCAACTAAAACTGAACAGGTCAAAGGTCATCTGTAGTTTAAAAAAGTAGAAAACAGATGGTTGTGTTGTGTTTGCTGCCATCTGTTTATTTCCTCATGGTCCTTGTTTCCTTTGATGTATCCTGTTTCTCCACAGGGATCACTGAAGTTCATCTTATTATATATCTGTGTGTGTGTGTGTGTGTGTGTGTGTGTGTGTCGTGCACTGCGTCTGTTAACTACATTAGTGTCCCTCAGCTGTCTGTCTGCTGCTGATTAGCTGCCAGACAACCGGCCTGCTTAACTCACACACATATGGTGCCTGATAAGGGACAAACTAGAGTCCCATAATACATCAGAGCAGATTACAGCATTAAGGAAAGAGCTGTGGAACACGTAATTAGCAGCTGGTAGCTGATTACAATGGAAAGGTCCAAGCAGAGGGACACGACGGCTCCGACCAGGACTCTGACTCTGGGGATGAAGACTCAGGGGGTTCAGGGAGCGACAGGAGAGGAAGAGGAGGAAGAGGAGCCAGTTTGTAGCCAGTTAAATAAACTGTTTTAATATTTGCGTATTAGATTACATCCATCACTTTATTTCTAATGTCCATCTTACCGTCACAGTGTAGCGGTGTGTGCGAGCTGCACACATTCTCACCATCTGTTTTTATAAGTACCATGGATATCGTTTATACATCTGGCCACAGGTTTCTGTGTGTTGTTTCAAGCTTTAACTTCCAAACTGTCAGTAACGTGTGAGACATTTCACACAAACACACACCTCAGACGGGCTGAATCTGTAGCAGCCATGAACTCAAGGACCTGCTGTTCTTCACAAAATACCACAACTGATTAGATTTTTTTAAATATCTGCCAGTTGTCGTGACGCTTTTTATATCCTGATATGTTTGGTTAACTCCCTCCCCCCTCCTTACCTAATATATATAAAGCTGCTCCTCGCTTTGATAACACGGAGGAGTGAATTCACACATTACTGGACACACGTCACATCCCATGATCCCTGAGGACGAGCTGTTGGTGTCACGCAAACTGTTCAATTATACATTTTATATTTTCCGCATTTACCGATCTTACTGCTCACAAACTACCAGTGCGGTTGTTGCCGATGAATCAGTCATTTCATTTTAGTATTCCTGCTTTTAAGAACAGTGGTCTGAAAGGTCAAATACATTCAATGGACACGTCTAGACTTTTGTTCTTGTCAATAAATGGCAGGTAAAGCCTGATATATCTTCTCACTCTTTGCCATAGAGCTGCATTGTTAAACTACTGAGGACATGAGACACTTGATGAGAGTGACAGCCATAGTAGGGTTGGGTGATTGGACGAATATACCAGCTATTGACAACAGGCTGACCGGTTGTTTTTTTTGGTCGACTTTTGTCATTTTATTTGATTAATTTATTGTTCTGCCTCTGAAGAACGAGGGCCGCTCAGTGACAGACGTTCAGCGGCGCAGTGTGTGAACTGCGACACAAACACGCATAATTAATTAATTAATAATAATTGGGATTAAAAAGTTGATTTATCTACACTCTTGCTTCTCAACCTGTGCTGCGAGCCACAGAGGTTACTTTACTATGAACTACGTTATCATAGCCCTGATCAACCAAACTCCATTCAGAAAACACAATTTATTTCAGCATCATTTTGATTTTATTGATATTAAATCACCACAAAATCTGTTTATTTTAAGATCATACCACCGTTTTAAACCAGATTAAAGGGTAAATATTCCCCAACCCTAATTCCTAGTCTGACCCTGTTGAAGGCCACAAGCCAATTATAAACGTGGCTTTGATATATACAGTGTGCAGGGTAACTCAAACCTGACACAAAACAAGATGTCTGATCTCCTCTCCAGACTTGTGATGTGAAGGGCAGTTTATATTTTACACTGTGTAATCTTTATGTCGGCTGATAGCATCAGCAGCAGTTAGAAATGTGTCGTGTTGAGCTGATCTGGGGTTTAAAGCGTGAGAGCTTTGTTTTTCCTCTTTCTGTGTGTGTGTCATGTTCAACCTTTGTGCAGGATGAGGTGGCGGGATAAAATCAGCAGACTAAATTAGCTCCTCAAAACTGAATTGGCTCAGTCATGCAGCTGCACCGACAGCTCTGACAACGCTAATTACACATTTGCATAATAATGTATTTTGTCATCTGTACATTGTTGATATTTTCCAGTGCTGAATCTGTCAGGTTCATTATGTTTAATAACCTAATTTCCTCTGTTTTTATAAGATAATATCTGTCTTTGTCCACCAGCAGTGAGGCCTGAGGGCGGGGATGTTTGTCGGTCCAGTACTTCCTGTTGATATTGGTTGTTTCCAGAGGATGAACCTTTTTGTATTAAACTCTGGTCATACTAATCACCTGCATTACTAACAAACAAGCAAGTCATCTTTGCTTCATTTTTCTCGTTGTTGTTTCTCATCTGGTTTTCTTGTATTTCCAGATTAGTAAAGCAAAAGAAGTAGACATAGTGGATATTCCATATTCCAACAAATCATTTTAAGTGTCACTTTAATATTATTTTTCTGAGTCAGAAATGCAACCATTTTCAAAAACAGGTCCGGTTTTTATGATTTTTGTGGAAGGTACACAGAACCCAATTCAAACCCTAACCCTAAAACCAAGTCTTAATCTTCAAACAGCCTTTTAAAACTGTGGGTTTTTTTAATTCTATATTATGAATGTAGTTTAATGACAAACAAACTCACGACAGGGACATTAAGTAAAAACAAGAGAAAGAGTGAAAGAGAAGGTCAAACCTGCCTCACACCTACTAACTGCCTGTGCACGGCCCAAGAGGAGAGGTAGAGACCTTGGCACTGTTTGCAGAAGACTGTGATTAATCTGAGTAGCATACATCCATCTATATATATATATATATATATATATATATATATAACAACATTTCTTTCCTTTTCCCTGATGGTTTAAATACATTTTAAAAATAAAGTCAATAAGAGGGTCTAAAAAAAAGAGAATGGAGCCTTTATGATTTGTTTTGTTCCATGATGCATTAACATAATAATTCTGTAATGATACATTTCACTACTGTCCCAGACATTGTGTCTGTGTCCCCGGTGCTATTTTTAATGCCCTCCGGTACAATAAAGACATTGTTTTTATCATTTTGAGCGCTGTATAGAGGGATGCCAGTTTTGGGACCAATCAAATAAAGGAAAACAAGTTCACAAACATGCACACTTCTCACCAGTGAGTCCTCTATGGTGTAGTTGAACATTTTCAAGGCGTCTGTCTTCAGATTGTTCACAAACTCTCTGTACTCGGGGTTCTGAGGCTCTCGGTACGTCAGGATCTTCACGCTCTGAAAACAGGAAGAGAAGGATTTTAAAATAACATCAAGTAAATGCTGTTCTATATGTTCCAACTGTAACTCGGCATGTTGTGGGAAATTAAATGACTACAAAAAAGTGTTTCCTCGTGTTCTCTGACTGCATTTGGAAGGGAAACAGGAAGAGGAGTTGTTGCTCTGTTCCGTACAAACAAGTTCAGGCAGATTCTGTGTTTACACTCAATAACTTCATGAGACATTATTGACCAGTGAAAAGTGCCAAAGTACTCGAGGGAGCATGAACAGGGAGTCATCTGACCCGCCTGTAGAGGTCAAAGTCAAACCTGGTTTTCCCAGGACTTGGTGGAGAGATACGTCAGAATACATACTGAACATCAGCCAATCTAAATTTTTTTATTCTTTTATTAGCTTGGCAAGTTTCACGACTGGCACGACATACAGAAGTGAAGGTGGAGGTGTTGAAGATGGAAAGTGAAGCTGTTGAAAAGGAAAAGAAGGTTTAGAAGTTGGGGAACTTGATATTTCCCAATATCATAATCACAGTTTGCCTCAAGGAGCTTTACAATCTTTACAGCACACAACCCCCTCCATCCTCACACCCTCCACTTAGATCAGGAAAAACTCCCCAAAAACTGGAAGAAACTTCAGGAAGAGCAACAGAGGAGGGATCCCTCTTCTAAGACGGACAGACAGGAAATAGATGTTGTGTGTCAAATTTACAGTTTGGAGAAAGGATGACAAAGTTATAAATAGATTTATGAATATATGAAGAATGGATCCAGGAGAACATTGAACAATTTGAGGTGTCACAATCATTATTTTCGTTTTCAGTAAAAAAGACACACAGGAAGCTAAATGTCATCAGACTTCAAACAACAGTCAGAACAGTCCAAAAACCCAGCGGGGTTCAGTTTCCAATGTTCCAATGTGTTTAATAGATTTTTTTTCAACTCATTACTCGATGATTGATTAGTTTTAATTCTTTAATCTGCACCGAGACCAACACTTGTATAATTTGGTTCAGTGTCAGTGAACTGTCTCGTTGGAGTATATTCATTTTAAAACCGTTAATGATAAACATTTCTGTCTTTGAGGTCAACTGTGATTTTAAACGAGCAAATTTCTCCCCAGATTGAAAGCGTGTTTCTCTGGAATGAATCAATCGAGCCGTCTCTCTTCGGGTTCTGTGTGTCTTTATCAAACTGAGTGAATTCCTTTCCTGTGAGAAACAGGCTGAATGTTGCTCCACTCTGTCAACCTGTTGTCTCTCTAAACACACAGATGTTATTTGAGTGCAGCTCCTCTGTTGTCTTTTGTCCTGATGACCAGTCATCCACATCACAGCCCGGCTCATCCTTCATCTTATTTAATCTTTATTTACCAAGACGGGCAGAGCTTCACCTCCACCCGTTAACAGCTCGGCAGATAAGACACCAGCTAACTTTGTTAGCAGCAATGCTACTTTTCAGTGAAATGAGTCCGTACTCACCAGTAGGGAGTACAAGCACTTCTGATTGCATACCACCACCTCTTGGTAATCCTACATACGCACCCTAAACACTCAGAGGCTGTTCAGATGTCTGAAAACAAGTTGATTGGGAGTCACCTTTAGTTTTTCCAGCTCAGCCACCGACACTAACGATACAGTTAATGTCACACAAATAAGATGTCAGATATGAAGTGAACTGAACAGAGAGCTCTTAACTAACTGCTGTTCCACTAGCATCTGGAACTCAACCCACCTTATCATTTTAACAAAGATAAAACCATTAGAAATCTACAGTGTTAACCGGTATGTTCTCAAAGCCTCAGGAACCAGTTGTTGACTCACACACAGTGTGAACTGTTGTTCATCAATAGTACATAGACATTTATCAGAGACTACCGACAGAGCCATGAGAGAAACCTCCAGCTGGGTTAAAGAAGCTTGCAGAACAGAGGCGCGTATACTCTCACCATCTCTGTAAGTTTCCCACATAGGCCGCCAAAGTACATTTAGCAACCAATCTTACCATTCCTAAAAGAACATTAGCCACAGAAGAGATGCTACTAGAAATAGGGTAATGTAGTTCAACCCTCCTCCATTCTGTGGGAAACAAATCTTTGAAGTGTCATACATTTAAACGTTGAGTCGTGACTCCAGTTTTTCTCCTAATGTGGGTCTGGTTTTCTGGTCTGGACCACTGCACCTCCCGGTCTGGATTCTTCACTCCTGGCTGGAGATTTAGTTTAATGTTGCCTGAAGAAACGTTCTGAATCTGAATGTGTGTGAAGTGTTTACTGTTTCCTCTGCTGTCAGTCACTTTATGAGGAGCTGCATAATTCACAGCCAAAAGAGAAAGAAAGAAACACTAACAGAAGAGCCGCAGACAGTAATTTCTCTGGGGAACGTGTGTGTGTGTGTGTGTGTGTGTGTGTGTGTGTGTGTGTGTGTGTGTGTGTGTGTGTGGAGTCAGTGGAGAATAAAGCCAATTTCGAGTGAAAAAGAGATGAAGATGAAGACGAGAGAGGAAACACTTCAGAGTAACCTGGGAAATCAGGTTTTGCGACCGACTGACGTCAAACAGTCTCATGTTCCTCCTGAGTTTAACCCCTCGCCCACCAGACTAAAGCTCCGTTTAGGGACACACCGCGTCGCTGATATCTCCTGAACCTGACCTCTGACCAGTGCCTACCCTGACCCCAATGTAAATTAGAATTTCTTACCCCAAAATATTCCATAATAAACTTTTTTGCATTATTACTGTACTCAACAATAAGCTAGATTTTCAAAGAAAATGGAAAATAACTGTCCAACTCTTTATCAACAAAAGGGACAGAAAAGTGGTACAGTAGAAGAGCGGCTATCCGGCTGTGCTAGCAGTCAGCTGCAGCGACCTGAACAACCGGCCCACAGAGAAGCAGGAGAGGTTGTCGGCACACATACAGAGTCGGAGAACAGTCTCAGAAGGACTGCTGTCAGAATCAGACTGACCAAACTGAACTAACACCACACTATTTGCGAGTAGATCTACAGATTGGTGAGTCTACAGTTACCTTACTTTGGCTTTGGGTTCATATTGAACTGAGTGTGTGTTTTAATGGTTGCTGACTGACTCATTACGGATAAAGGCTGCATCCTGATGCTGGGCAGAGGCTGCTGTGCTTTCAGTTTTCACTTGTTTATTCCACTCTTGTGTGTGATTCCTGTATCATCAATGAACGTTGATGTTAGATATCAGTGTGCGTGCAATGCTTCCTAGATTACAGTCCATCTAAGACATGTAATATCTGCCCTTTCTGATAAAAGAAGCGCTTTATAATCGGACCTATCGCACAGTGCCTACCTTGTCATTGACCTCACTGCCTCCTGTGGAAAAGAAAGGATGCCCCTTAATATTCCTGGGGGAAAATACGTTGGGTAACGACTGATACATGTCTGTCACTTTGACTTTAAGGGGCAGAAAGTTTTTCATTCTGGCAGAAGAATGCGCTCAGTGTGATTATGAATACGATGGAGAACAATAATGCCCCCGTGGTTTTGATCAGATTCAAACAGTGCTGTCTGAGACATTGTGCGTGTGATGGATGGGTGACTCATTGTGTTTCTGATTTCACTATGGAGGGAAAAATGCTGCTGTTACACAATCAGTGACGATCCACAATGACGAGTGAAAATCAGTATTTTTAAGACATGGAACATTTAAGGGCATGTCTGAGCTAAAGTCCAGGCAAACGCAGCATCGCATGCACACACACAGTGTCAAAAGCTTCATCGGGACAGCATTTCTGTCTAAGTTTGAACTTGTGAATCTATTAAACAGCTGAGGACGCTACCTAATTTTAACTTTGCTTGTTCTATGCCTCGTCAGTAGCTGTATGAAGGCATTGTTTTATGAACAGGATAATTATCACAGCAGGAAAAACCTGAGCTTTAATCTGATGTACGGAGGCTTCTGGGTCAGAAAGGATCACTGCTGTTGGTCTGTAAGGTCCATTCAGTGTGTGACATGGGCTAAACCTGACTTGACTTGAAATCTGAACCCGGGTACCTGGAAGGCCTCTTTGGCGATGGCGTCATCCTCGTCACCACGAGCCCACGGCTGTCCGTGTTTGGAGTTCAGACTGTCCCCAAACACATCGATGTAGAAGAAGACATACTGCTCGTGAGGAAGATCTGCCAGCTGAAACTGAATCATCAGCTTCCTGAAGATGTCCGGTGAGCAGCAGACAAACATCACTGTAAAGACAGAGAGACAGGAAACGGTTTCAGTCGAGGTTCAGGAAGCCACTGGGGCAGACTGCTGGTTAGATATAGTACATTTTTGAACTGGAATTAATAAAATGACAAATGCACTCAGAAAGCTCCTTTCTTAAACAAATAACTTTGTAACTTTATAGTAAATAATTCTAGAAACCAACACAGACACGAAAGTAAAGAGTAAAAAACAAAAATAGCTAAACATCAGTTCCGTAAAAAACTTTTTTTAGGAATATAAAAAGGTTTCTGTCCACTTTGAATGAAGTTACGATGATCTGTCAGGTAAAATTAGTGTTTCTGTCTCTGGAGTCTGGTTGAGAGTGATAGTGATATTACAGTTATTATTATTATTAAAGGTCTATCTGGGTACCAAAAGTAACTGAATGGATATTGTGTAACAGGACATATCTGGTTGGAGACAAACCTCCAGGTTAGACTTACTCATTGGGGAGAGGTGAACAGAACAAACATCCATCAGTTTACAGACAAACTTCCTGCTTTAACTTTTACTTTAAATGACAGTTTGGATGTTGTTCGGCTTTATGTTAATGTTGTATTCCTGCTGCATGATGGAGTATTAACCCATCTGGAAATCGAGGACCAATACAATTAAAAAGGGATGAAGTTAAAGTTGGATTTAATATCACTGTGAAGTAGAAAAGGGAGATAATCCACAAGCAGCCCACAACAAACCACCTCCACCATGTCTGAAGATTACAGTCTGTTCCTTTATTTCCCTCCACGTCTAAAAAAAATGTTAATCAAAAGCAGCGACTCCTTAAAATTTAACATCAACCGCCAACTAATGTGCACAAATACAAAAACAAGCTTTACATGTTTCCATATGCTGTAACTGCCAAAGCTTTTCAGTAATAAAAGAGTGTTTCTGCCCACAGGATGTTGAAGGATGAACATTTTATTTACAGAGGGTTTAAACAACACATCTACTCCAACATCCGAAATGCGTTTGTGGCACTCTTCATCCACTACTCATCTTCCTCCTGTTGTCCATCAGCTGGCTCAGGATTACTGAGCTCATTAGTGAAATCTTGCTTCTTCACGCATCAAACACATCCTCCTCATTGTCTATCTCTCATATCGAATTATACAGCTTCATGAGGAACTGCTGTTTCATACAGACTGTTTGTTGATGACCCGTCTGAAGAACTCGTTATATTAACAACCTGCATGAGAAATTATTTTATACCAAAAAACAGCTGACGCTATGAACCTTGTGGGAACATTTTGTTATCCTATGCATGTGATAAATTTTAAAATAATAGAAAAGAAGTTGATGAAAACATACATTTAAAATTCTATTTATGAAATCGTTTATGTTACGTTTATTGAACAATAAACTTAACCTTTTTTCTACAAAACAAATAAATATTACATAAAGACAACACATATTATATTTGACACAATCACTGTTAGGAAATCCAACATTAACTCTGAACACAGAGCTACGATAAAAAACTAGTAAACCTGCAGATTTAAGGCAGCTAACAAGAAGTGGTTGTATATTGTATAAATGTTAACCTTTCGAGGGCTTTTGATTTTAGCCCTGCGTGTATGTAAGTTATGTCTTTTTGTAAATGATCAATTTATATTTTTCATCATATATTTTTATATATATATATATTTTTAGCTATAAGGTTTTTATTATATATTTTTTTTCCCAATGAGATTTTGAATGATAATGTACATGAGATCTAGAAATTGTTTGATTTTTTTCATTTGTATGTATGTTTATTTTGTTTACCTCACAATTGTATTTACATATTGTACTTGAGTAAATTTACTAAACCCATTTGTGCCTGCAATTGAAATTAGATTTCCAATGAGAAGTGAGTTTTTCTAACCACACAGTATTGAGTCTTTGGGCAGATGGAACTTATGTTTTCTCATAAAATGGAAGAAAATGCCAGAATAAGCAACAAAATGTGAGAGATTTGTATTATTTCCAGCACACACATGTGATAGGTTGTTGAAATTGGCTGTATCTCACAAACTACAAGGAGCACAATCAAGTATTTGATATCTATGCACTCATAAGAAGTTCAATATTAAATATGCAGTAAGAAAAACTGACTTTGAATGTTGATAAAAGTGGGATTTTTCATGGGATCCAAAAATGTAAAGAGATTTTAGAGCCAGACGGAATGAGAACCAACGTTAAGGCATTTTTCCTAATCATACTGAATATAGTCTCTGGATGCAAATGGGTTAATAACTCACTGGTTTAGAGTTGTGTACAACCAAATATATACAAAAAGGTGCTTAAAAAAATAAATTCAATTTCTAAGAAGATGTTTCCTGATTTGAATCTTTTTAAAGCAGACCGACACTCTTACTGCCAGGCCGAGCGCCATTAGAGAGACAAAGACATCAATCAAGATGCTGCCAACTCTGGACTCAAACCCCGACCCAGAACAGCGGGAAGAGCGTTATCGAAATGTCAGTTTTTACCATCAGACTTCAATATAAAGATCCAATTAGGAGCGAGCGTTGTTTCCTCTGCTGCGAGCTGAGTCCTCAGTGTGTTTGTGATTAGATGTTGTCGATTGGAAGCATGGCGAGGAGAGAAAACAGCAATCAATAACACGGCGGAGCAGCCGAGGCCGCCCAGAGTGACTCAGACGGCTGGAGGCAAGACGAGCCGCCTCCACCGCCGCTGATCACTGACTCGTCTGTCAGAGGGGACATCAATGGGATTTATTATTGACGAGTGTGTGTGTGTGTGTGTGTGTGTGTGTGTGTGTGTGTGTGTGTGTGTGTGTGTGTGTGTGAGAGAGAGAGAGAGCATCAGCTGTTCTGTGGTTACACTGAGAAACATCCATTAAACCTCTGAGCAAAGGAGTCTTCAGATGCTTTGTATCAAGACTCAGACAGAATTAATCCGATATCGATAGAAATGATTGGTTAAAAGACACCGCGAGGCTTTCAGGTTACACCCCAGTTACTCCTTTTTCTCTCCATATTTTAACATTTTTCTCGGATTAAAAACAACTTCTGTGCTCTGATTGGAATATTTTACCGTCAATTTTTAATGAATTATACAAAAAAATGAAAAAATATTTTCACATTTCTTCTTCCTCCCTCAATGTCTCTGCAAATAAACGCCTAAAAGCATCACACGCATCGCAATGTTTTAGAAAAGCTGCCGTAAAACTCCCCCAGAAGAGAGCGAGTGGAATCCTGGAGGGAGCTGATTAGTAACTGTTTGTGTTTTAACAGACACCGCTCTCAGTTTCTCAGATGCTCAGAGTTTCTTGGGCCTCTTCCCCACATCTGAGTCTCAGGAAGTCTCCCGAGGCGTGATGACATTCCTCCGGCCTGCCGTTCCTGTCCCACCGCCTCTATTGTTTCAGGCTTTAATAACCTCTGAGCAGGAAGTGAGCGGTGAAACCACAGAAACCACACCGAGCTAAAAGCTTTCTTCCGATTGATACTGAGCTCAGAAATCCCTCCCTGCCGCCGCAGAGACGAGTTTACAGTCTGCTGAAAGTGGACCGCTGCTCTTTAAATGCTCCTCTGTCTGTGTGTGTGTGTGTGTGTGTGTGTGTGTGTGTGTGTGTGTGTGTGTGTGTGTGTGTGTGTGTGTGTGTGTTTTATTCCCCTTTACCTGCACTAAAAATACCAATCTAAAAATACTCACTCTGCACTTTCTGATCTCTCCATCAAACATTCTTAAACATCATTCATTTATCCACTTAGGGTTCACATTTATATTGCACACATCCACACAAACAGCTGACTTCTGTCCACCACAGTTAGTCAGATTAAAGGTTAAACATCAGAGAAAAGCCACTGCTGCTGCTCTCTGAGTGCTGACTCAGTGTTTGGGCTCTGAATAAATGAGAATAAATGAGAATAAATTAATGGTTCTCAGTACAAATGTAACCTCGCTTTCACCAACAAGCAATACAAACTGAACAATATCATTACGAGGCATCAGCAGATTATGATGAAGAGTGATCTCATAATTATGAGATAATAAGTCGTTAATTCACAAAAACAGAGCAGAATATTGTTTTAGTGAATGCAGCACGTCTCCATAGGACATAATGTCAAACCATTCCTCTAGTTACCGTCTTGGTGTCATCCGACAGGCCAATAGTTCATTTTTTTGTTCTAAACACCTCAGTAGCCATATACGTTAAAAAACACCACAGAGTGAGTTTTCAGCGGACTCTGGGACGACTTTGTTTGTGTAGAGAAAATAAATTCCAGTGATATAATAAACTGACTTTGAATAGATGACTACCGGTATGTTTGTATCTTATTTGGTGGTGGTGAGGAGGTAGGTACAGCTGATACACTGATCAATATTATTTATCATGTGACAGGATGAGTTATTAGACAGCTGCTGTATCAGGCTGACTCGGTGCCAAAGGTCAGAGTGCAGACACGACCCTGAAACCAGGAAGAGACAGAAACTCCTGCAGGAGGAGCCTCGAAACACCGCGGACCACGTCTGACCTCTGACCCCCTGCACACATCCTGACTTCCACAGATGTGTTGAGATGAAAGGAGAGCAGCTTCCACTCTTCCACATACAGTACGGCAGCTCAGAAGATGAAAGGATTCTGTTTTTCTCTGATCAGAGCGGCACAGGATGGAACCTGAACGCCACACTCTTTAAAATCATCCACAAAGTGCAGAAAAAGCTTAAAGACTTGAAGAATAACAGAACTTTGCATCCACAGTCTCATAGATCAGCGTGTCTCCGACTGCAGTTTCTCTCATTAATCCTGAGATCTTCACATCCAGCGTGTCATTTAAAAATCTTAAAAGAATGAAGCTGTAATGCAGCTGCCATCCTTCATACTTCAGGGGTGAAAGAGAAGAAAGACAAAGGTCATGCAGGAAATAGGACGTGAGGAAAAAGTAATTATCTTCTTAATCTCCTTTTTGTACCTTGTTCCTCTTCACTCCTTCATCTCAGTGACTCTGTCTGAGGTCTTAATGCTGTGCTT